TCATCTGCAAATAGTGATACTTTGACTTCTTCCTTTCTAATTTGTATTCCGTTGATCTCCTTTAGTTGTCTTATTGCTCTAGCAAAGACTTCAAGAAAAATGTTGAAGAGATATGGAGAGAGTGGGCATCCTTGCTTTGTCCCTGATTTCAGTGGGATTGATTTAAGTTTCTCTCCATTGAGTTTGATGTTGGCTATAGGCTTGCTGTATATTGCCTTTACTATGTTCAGGAATGTGCCTTGTAACCCTAATCTCTCCAAGACTTTAAACATGAATGGATGTTAGATGCACACATACACAATAAAAATAAACATTTAAAAATGTTTCTAGTAATTAAAATGAACACCAAAAATTTAAACCATGGACAGATAAAATAGATTTAAAAATTACTGGAATGGAGCTGGAGAGATGATACAATGGTTAAGACCATTTTTTGCTCTTTCAGAGGACTGGAGTTTGAGTCCCAGAACATGCATCAGATAGCTCACAGCTGCCCGTAAATCCACTGCCAGGGGATCCGATACTCTCTTTGGGCCTTTGTGGGCACCTGCACACAGGTGGCATACATCTCCCCAAACACACATATACATAAATAAAAATATTAAAACAGAACTGGAGAAGTCTGGCCTGCTGGCACCTGTCTGCAATTCTAGCACTCTGAAGGCTGAGCTGGAAGGATTGCCTCGTTTGAGTCCTAGGCCAGCCAGAGCTACTGTGTGAGACCTTGCCTCAAAACACACAAACATACAGATCCCCAGGTATAGCAACTTTCTGGCTAGAGAAATATCATTCAGTTCAAGGGATGGGAAATTTGAAAACATAGTCAAAGATTAGATAGGAAAATTTCAGAATGTGTCCCAGAGAAACTATTGAGTAAAAAGAAAGTGGATAGAAAAAGAGGTAGTCACCAATAGATTCTTAGAATCCAAGAAAAGCTGAATCTTTTAATATGAGAAAGTTTACCAGCTCTCTGGCAATCTGTAGGGAGTCTGACATTAAAGAAAAGTAAAAGTTGTTAAAGTGGAAAGAAAAGTTCGATTAATGCAGGGGGTGAATTAGATGACAGCTAACCTCTCAGTTGTGCCAGCAGTTGCCAGAATAAAGAGCAGTAGTGACTTCCAAATGTGGAGCCGGCGGCGCTCCATGTGGACTGGGGTACGAGGGAATTCCTGTTTGAGGAGGGATCTCTCCACCAGAAAGATTTAACAGCTCAGGAACTGCTTACCCACATTAGCCTACAAATAAAATAAGAATTGACATTTTGTCAGAAGAAAGCTTAGTGTATTTCTGTCAAATTGGTTAAGTAAACTAAAATGAGTAGAATGAGAGATTAAAAAAATTAAAAACTTAGCTTGATCTAACCTACTGCGGAACAAATACCATACAGTATTTTTGTTTACATTGGAACAAGTCACCTACTTATGACCCTGCGCTAAAGGGTTTGAATATTGGAGTAAATACAGAAACATCAAATTAGCATTTTACCTTTAGACCTAAAACTCTTGAATTTGAAATCTTAAAGTGGGTAAACAGTAACATAAAACGTTTTAAATAGTATTTATAAATCGTAATTGTAAACTGAGTATTTAGAGCTTAATAATGAATGAGAGAAGTACATATAAAAAGCAAAGCTGTACCAGGCATGTGGGGACTGGGCAGGAGGGATACTGAGAATTTTGGAGCAGCCTGAGCAATATAGTGAGTTCTAGGACATTCTAAGCAAAGAGTCTGAAACTGTAACTCAAAACCAACAACAGCAAACTAAAACCCTTATCCTTGATTTTGCAGCATATGAAAATGGTATAGCTTTAAGTGTATGCCAAACATTTCCTCTCAAGATGCAGTCCCCAGGAAAAGGGAAACTGTCCTTAGACCTTTCATGGCAAGGTGGTACCTTACATGAAAGTTTGACTTGAATCTCTTTTATTTCAGGTGTGTTTGGAATGCTCATAGGGCTTCTCTGAGAAGTGATTTAACCTGAAAAAATAGGCAAAGGAATCCAGAACAGAAAAGCCAGGCTTGATAAACACCTTTAATCCCAGCACTTGGGAGGCAAAGGCAGGTGGATTTCTCTGAGTTCAAGGCCAGCCTGGTCTACAAATTGTGCTTCAGGACAGCGAGGGGTGCACAGAGACATTTTCTCTATACAAACAAACCAAAAAAAAAAAAAAAAAAAAAAAAAAAAAAAAAAAAAAAAAAAAAAAAAGAAAAAAGAAAAGAAAAGAAATTTAGAACATATTTGATTAAAGGAACCCACATAAACTTAATATTAAAACTTTCAGTAGCCAGGCTGTGATGGTGCATGCCTTTGATCATAGCACTGGGAGGCAGAGGCAGATGGATCTGTGAGTTTGAGTCTAGCCTGGTCTGTAGAGTGAGTTCTAGGACAGTCAGGGCTACACAAAGAAACCCTGTCTCAGAAAAACAAAATTAAACCTTTAGTAACTGCAGTGTAGATTTATTATTACTGGAGTACAAATGGGGTGTATATATCCTAATGCGTAATTGTGGCTTGTGATCAAAATTGGAGTGATGGCCTGGATACATTTACTTAAAATTACTTATAATTTTACTCGTAATCGCTAATGTTGAGCTGGATCTACAAGTGTGAGAACCACATTGGATTCCCCAGAGTCTATGGAAATTCTGGGCATCTGAGTTATAGCCCTGTAAGCCCACGGCATGGGAGGTGAGAAAAGATCCTCGGGGTAAGCTGGGCTAGCTAGACTATCTGAGTGCATGAGCTCTGCGTTCAAGTCAGGGACCCTGCTTCACTGTGTAAAATGGAGAGCATTTGACTAGTGTCTGCTCACTACACGCATTTACGCACATGTGAACATGTATACAGATACATGTACACCATAATACACATGCAAGAAATGGTGTTAATAAAATCTTAAAAACTATTATGTTCCAAAAGAAAAGTTTGATAGACATTCTTATATATGTATAAGAGCAGTGAATTGTTCTGTGAACGGAAAAAAACTTTCTGAATCAATATTTTTTAGATCCTGGTTTAAACATTTAAGTATATTACTAAATGTTATAAAGTTTAATATCCAAGTGATAAAATAATTTTTTTATGTTCTCACTGGTTATGTTAGTGAGATTACTTTAGACTTACCCTTAAACTTGGAAATATTTGGCTTACGATCTTAAAGCATTAATTAGTGACGCACAAAGGTTGAAAATTACTTCAATAAATCTTAGGGAGGTAAAAAAAAAGTAGAAAACATTGAAAAAATAGAAATTAACAAAAGTGAAAGATGGACAACACTGAGAACTGTTTTGTTTGTTTTTTAACTCAATAACCTAAGTGTACTAGGGCCAAGATTAATCAAGAAAAAGCAGGCAAAACCTAATAGTTTTAAGATTTTAAAAAGGGTCATAATTTCACATATAACAAAAACATAAAAATCATGAGCAAGCACTATGACTATTTCTGGAAATGTGTAATTGACCCAACCTTGATTAAAAAGCAGATTTGGCTTTGGTGTAGGGATTTAAGTGCTTGGGCCATTTTATATTTGGGACAACCCTATGGCTGTTGATTGTAATTAAGATAGCCAAAAATGAAGTCTGGAGATAAAGATTTTAGGATTTCTGAGCAGTCAGTTTGAGAGTCAGACAGTTTGGAAATTTTCTTTTCTTTCTTTCTCTTTCTTTCTTTCTTTCTTTCTTTCTTTCTTTCTTTCTTTCTTTCT